CACAAAACCAACACCACACGCAAAGCACAGTGCAGTAGCGACACCGGAGCCAGAGCACACGACCATCGCCTATAGCATCAGCCTCAAGGACTGAGGTGTGGGTAGCCGGCGCGGGGGGTCTGGAGCTCCCCCTTCCCCCTCCCGGGGAGGGGGGAGCTGCGCAGACAGCGGCGCGGCGGTGTGTGACGTCACACTAGTTTGCTTGTTTTCGGTTGGGGAGTTCTATCCACTAGTTCGGTTTTTGGTAGCAATTTTAACCAGAATAGGGGTTTGTTTTGAGGCGCTTACCTTTCTGGGTGCCTGTTCCGATCGATGGCAGACATAGAATGCTTCCAACCACACGGGGGCTTCTATAGGCCATTGCTCCCCTTGCCTCTCTGAGGGGGCCCGGTTCTAGCCGTGGTCCCCGGTAGGCCTAAGAACTCCATACACATGACTGATGCCAAAGTCTGACATTAACATATCAGCCTGGGATAGCTCCAGGGAGCCAACGGGGCTCCCCCCAGAAAAAGTTCGAACTTGTACTTACTTTGGCTGCTATGGGGTCCGTACGTTGGCGCGTAACGTCACCATTCCCTGTTCGCCCGTGCAGTAAGCTCCCAGGGCCGGTGGGGCGCCCGGGGCGGGGCGTGCGAGTTGCCGGGAGTATATTTTTGTTCATTTTTTGCGCACAGTTCCAAAATTTTTTTATTTGTTTTTACGTGCTAATCCTATGTATAATGAACACGTACACTATATTATGGTAGTAAAACATCCGTACTGTCCATGGACACTGTGTTACGTGCATGACACTTGTGTACACATATGTTGCACATATTTACCATATATCATGCTAATTTATGTATATATACAATCTATTTACAGACTATACACTGTCACACACTATATACATTCCCCATCAACACACTCAGAACACCGCGAGTGTGAGCAGCCACACTCAGCCAGCCCTCCCTCACTCCTCCAACATCTTACTCGCCAACATTGCTCCTCCAAATCATAGTTATTCACACCAATGTTTCATGTTCATTTATGTATATTTACAACATATGTACACACTATACACTGTCACACACTATATACATTCACCATCAGCACACTCAGAACACCGCGAGTGTGAGCAGCCACACCCAGCCAGCCCTCCCTCACTCCCTCAAATAGAAAAAATAGAAATAGAAACAATTGAACGGAAGCTACAAGAATCATACAGAACCCAGGAGAGGCAAAGAGAGCAAAAGGCCATCAGTGAAATAGAAAGAAATCCAAAATATTTTTTCTCCTATGCAAAATCAAGATCAAAACCACATCTAGTATCGGGCCCCTGCGAAAGGGAGATGGAACTTTCACCGATGACAACAAAGAAATGAGCGAGCTACTGAGGACGCAGTACGACTCTGTTTTCAGCGAGCCATTAAACACACTAAAGATTGATAACCCAAATGAATTTTTCATGGATACGATACCAACATCAAATCATATATCAGACGTCACCCTATCCCCACTGGATTTTGAAGAAGCCATAAACAGTATGCCTATGCACTCTGCACCAGGCCCGGATTCTTGGAACTCCATATTCATAAAGAACTGTAAAAAACCACTATCACAGGCCCTCCACATTCTGTGGAGACAAAGCCTAGATACTGGCGTTATTCCTGATATACTAAAAACAGCAGAGATAGCACCACTTCATAAAGGAGGAAATAAGGCAGAGGCAAAAAATTACAGACCGATAGCGCTGACATCGCACATCATAAAAAATTTTGAGAGAGTGCTAAGAAGTAAAATCACAAAATACATGGAATCACAGCAACTCCATAACCCCGGACAACATGGTTTCAGAACAGGGCGCTCTTGCCTGTCGCAGTTGCTGGACCACTATGATATGGCATTAGATGCTATGGAAGACAAACATAACGCGGATGTAATTTACACAGATTTCGCAAAAGCTTTTGATAAATGTGACCATGGTGTTATTGCACATAAAATGCGTTCAAAAGGAATTACCGGAAAAATAGGCAGATGGATCTACAATTTCCTGACCAACAGAACCCAATGTGTAATAGTTAACAAAATAAAATCCAGCCCATCAACCGTGAAGAGCTCAGTCCCCCAGGGTACTGTGCTTGCTCCAGTACTTTTTCTCATCCTCATTTCGGACATAGACAAGAACACAACCTATAGCACTGTATCATCCTTTGCAGATGACACTAGGATCTTCATGAGAGTAGGCAACATAGAGGACACGGCGAACCTCCAGTCAGATGTAGATCAGGTCTTTCTATGGGCTACAAAAAATAATATGGTGTTTAACGAAGATAAGTTCCAGCTCATGCGCTATGGAAAAAATGAAAATATAAAAACGGAAACCACGTACAAAACTCAGGCAAATCATAACATAGAACGAAAAGGCAATGTAAAGGATCTGGGTGTACTCATGTCGGAAGACCTTACCTTTAAAGAACACAATAAAGTAGCCGTCACAACTGCAAGAAAAATGACAGGTTGGATAACAAGAACTTTTCACACTAGAGATGCTATACCGATGATGATACTTTTCAAAACGCTTGTGCTCTCTAGAGTGGAGTACTGCTGCACAATGACAGCCCCTTTCAAAGCTGGAGAAATTGCTGACCTGGAGAGCGTGCAGAGATCCTTTACTGCTAGAATCCACTCAGTAAAACACCTAAACTATTGGGACCGACTAAAGAGCCTAAATCTGTACTCCCTTGAGCGCAGGCGGGAGAGATACATAATAATTTACACGTGGAAAATATTAGAGGGGCTGGTCCCAAACCTGCACACAGAAATAACATCACATGAGACCAGAAGACATGGCAGGATGTGCAGAATACCCCCGTTGAAAAACGGAGGTGCAACTGGTACTCTGAGAGAGAACTCTATCAACATCAGAGGTCCGAGATTGTTCAACACGCTTCCACTACACATAAGGGGCATAACTGGCCGACCCCTCACAGTGTTCAAGAGAGAACTGGATAAGCACCTCCAAAGGATACCTGATCAACCAGGCTGTGACTCGTACGTCAGGCTGCGAGCAGCCGCGTCCAACAGCCTGGTTGATCAGTCCGGCAACCAGGAGGCCTGGTCGACGAACGGGCCGCGGGGACGCTAAGCCCCGGAAGCACCTCAAGGTAACCTCAAGGTAACCTCACTCCAACACCTTACTCGCCAACATTGTTCCTCCCACCATACTGTTATTGTATTTATTACACGATTTACACATGTTATATATACCTATCTACATGTTTTATTCACCAGAACTATGCAAGTAAGCCGGTATTGTGTCCAAACAGTAAAGTGGCCACCATACACTGCATGACAAATCACACAGCAGACGACGCCACGATTACGACGTCACCTCCCTCACCAAAATAGCTCCTCCCAACATACTCCTGGTGCTGTTATTACACTATTCACACACACTGTATATACCCATGTACATGTGTGTTCCCCATAGCGAACCACGAAGCTAGTATGGTGAGCAACCCAAGAGTTACGGCCACAGTGAGGCTACCTCAATTCTCTCCCTCACCAAAATTCCTCCTTCCTACGCACAACGCTCATTATGACCACAATCCTGGTCACTAATACCTGTAAATGAATAATTGACCACAAGTTTATTTTGAAAAGGAACCTAAAAAGTCGTTTGAAGATTCTTAGATGGACGAAATAATGCTGTGGTGCTGTGGCTAGCGCTGTGAACATCATGAACAGCATTGAATCACTGATATTTGAACATTGTACCCAGTCATTATTACACTCAGGCTTTTCTATAATACTATTATGGCTAAATAAAACAGATTATATATATATTTTGACAATATTAGGCGATGCTGTGGTCACACGCTGAACAGCAGTGCTGTGCGCTCATGCTGCGAGCACCAGCCTTGGTTGCTCACTCACTACTGAGGCTCTGACACCCAGCAATGTGGACCATGAATTTTTTTTAAGATGGCGTCTGTTTACAAGAGCCCTGAGGAAGCTGATGTGAACCCCATGTAGCCGCGGGAGTTTTGAATGGAACGTGAAAAATAAAAACACCCGGAGGCGCGTTGCGCACCCGAAGCCTGGGCCTGCAGGCACGTTGCACAGTTAAAGGGTTAAGGTCCTCATTTTTACCGTACCTGAGTACCTGGAAAATATCAGAGATATTTTATAAATTTAATTTAGGTAGACCCAGGTGACTTGTGGAAGATAACCCCAAGCCCCTAGGGCAGTACTTACAGGGCATTCCGGGAAGGGAAACCCCCTTCCCTGAATGCAGCCTGAGTACCTGTGAATATTACTCCCAGCTTGCATGCCACCGTAAAAGCAGTACTGGACCAAGGCACAGCACAAAGAGTCTGGAGCGGGAGCCACACAACCATGCACGATCACATCAGCCAAAGAACTGAAGGGTGGATCGCCGGTGCGGGGGTCTGGGGCTCCCCCTTCCCCCTCCTGGAAGGGGGGGAGGAGCTGCACAGACATGTGGCACGGCTTGTGTGACATCATGCTCGTTTGCTCTTTTTCATTTGGGGAGTTATATCAACTCGTTTGTCTATTTTTGTCGTTTTAACCAGAATAGGGGTTTGTTTTGTGGCACTTACCTTTCTAGGTGCCTGTTCTGGTTGATGGCAGACATAAATGCTTCAAATCACATGTGCATTTCTATAGGCCATTGCTCCTCATGCCTCTGAGAGGGCCAGGTTCTGGCTTGTGGTCCCTGGTGCTAGAACTCCACTCACACTGACTGATGCCAAAGTCTAAAGATAATCATATCAGCCTGGATAGCTCCGGGGAGCTGCAGGGGCTCCCCCCGGAAATTACAAAAATCTATAAACGAACTAGAGAGCAATTTAAACCTATTTTTCAAGCATTTACTCAATTTATCCATTAATTTTAATTATTTTAAATTCAACAATTTTAAATTATATTAAATCCACAATGCAATTACATTGCATTGTGGATCATCAGTCAATATTACAATAAAACCACACTAAATGACTTGCCTTATTGCATTCCACCAATTTGATACCATTCTTCAATTACCAATATTATGCAGCTCATCTCTGGAAGATTAAAAAACAAAGTTAATCAACCCATGTACAATGAGAAATGCTAAACAATGTGACAATAGTCAGAAAATATTAAACATCACAGTTTCAGATATATACTTGTCTATATGTTCATCACAATATTCACACAATGTTAAGTGCCCTCCTATCACTTAAAATGCCACAAAGCAATATACCAAATATTGGATTTAAAACTAATCATAATCAATTAAGATTAATCTAAAATTCCTTCAGCCATTTATTCAGCAGTTAGTGTGCACCTTAACTTTCATATAGTTCTTTAACAGTGCATTGCAAATCAATTTGGATATCAGTCCAACATTAACCCTAGCATTAAAAGTACAAAGACCCATATTAATTTCCCCACAGCAATACTTCGCAAGACACCAAATTTCAGTTTACATTAATATGTAATCACTCCCACCCAGGCTTGTTCCATACCATGTCTTACGTTCGCCCTGTCTAACCCACTGCCCCATCTGAAAACGTGCAATTCATACATACAGGAATCAGAACCACCACCCAACTTTACTTACAGGCATAGCACGCCGAATCATTCAATGCTGAGTTGCACACCCTGTATACTTACAAAAGTTACTCAAATGCCATTAACTTGTAGAAAGAAATCACTATTATTATAATTGTTAGTTCAAATACATTTACAACTAATTAAGCAGTTTCTCGGTTTTCCAAATTAATCAACATGTATCATTAAACGATCAGGTTATCACAGGTATCTGTACATACCTGATAAGGTAGTTGTGCCCGTATGAGTTCTCCCCAAGAATGACAATCCAAACAGGAATTTTTGCCAAACATAAAGCAGTTTGCTTGTAAAGGGGAAAAACCAGCGTTGAATGTAATGAAACGCCATTTTCTGAATGTGTCCCGGAGGCTCCCCGGAGCTATCCAGGCTGAATGGATATGTATAACTTTCTGTCATCAGTCAAAGTGCTAGGAGTTCTTGCCTACCAGGGACCACGAGCCAGAACCTGGCCCCCTCAGAGAGGCACGAGGAGCAATGGCCTATAGAAACCCCCTTGTGATTGGGAGCATTCTATGTCTCATCGACCGGGACAGGTACCCAGAAAGGTAGGCGCCCCAAAACAAACCCCTATTCTGGTGAAATTATTGCTACCGAAAGCCGAACGAGTGGACAGAACTCCCCAAACAAAATTATCAAACTAGCACGACGTCATCACGTCGCCGCGCAACCCCCCCCCCCTCCTCGAGAGGGGGAAGGGGGAGCCCCAGACCCTCCACGCCGGCGATCCAACTGGCAGTTCTTAGGCTGCATGTCAAAATACGCGAAAAACGCCGCCGACCGGAGGGAGGTAGGGATGCCGGGGAGCCTCCGGGACACACCCAGAAAATGGCGTTTCATTACATTTAACGCTGGTTTTCTGGTGGGAGCCCCATTGGCTCCCCGGAGCTACCTCACCACACATAAAGTAAATCAGGGAAGGAACCGGGAAGCGGATAGCACACGTCCTAACTGAATAACCAAAACCAGAGACAAAACAAAGACCAAAACGAGAAGAAAAAGACCACCCAGGCCAACGACCAGGACAGCACCAAAACTCAAGAGCAGGCCAGAGGGGAACAACGCCCAGGACAGCAAGTGGAATGGAGCAGAAGGAACCGCAACACAGAACGCAAGCAGGAGCGGCTCTGCCAGCAACACCCAACATGAGGTGACAGGACAATCCCAGAACAACCCCCAAGGGAAGACAAGCCAACACTATCAAAGACCGAAGGACCCTTCGCAGTGATAGGAAAACCACACACCGCCCCCGAGATGAAACACGCAGGTGGGAGACCAATAACGAACCCACCTGTGCCGACACAAACGACGAGAAACGAACACCACGATCGAAAGCGCAAAACGCGAATCTAAAAACAGCGACCCTACAACCCAAAGGAGCAACATAACCAGCTCCAGCAGGGAAGAATGATGCACGCATCCCCGAGGCATCCAAGAGGAGAACTACCCAGGATGAGAACCGCAGGAAAGCAAACACACCCGGTCCGGAAAAGGAACAAAGAAAAACCGAAACCAGGACCGGAACCCAGCAAACCCGGTTCCAAGAAAAGGAACCAGGAAGGCAGGAGCGGCAAACCGAAAAGTCCGCACCCCCCACAGACAGAGCAACCCGAAGCCTGCAGAAAACCACACAGAAATCACAGGAACTCGGTACCAAAACGGAACACCAGAGAAGTCCAAAAACAGAACACGGAACATGGACAGAGGCCTACTGGAGCACCAAATAGGATAATCAAGAAGCACTGACCCAGATACACAAAAACGTGTAGCATGGGGGGAGGAAAAATGGACACAGGTAAGGAAAACCACGAATACGACCCAAGGAGCGGCAGGGAAGTAACGCACACGACCAACCACAAAATGTGTAGAGGAGCGCGTCCATACCTGAGGGACCTTACGGACAGCAGGGTGCAGTCAGGCACTGAAGATAGGCAAGGAAAGTGTCCAGACAGGGAAAAGACCCAGGGGTTGACAACGAAAACAAAAGCACCGAAATGCGGAGCAGAGCCCCACAGGACAACAAAGAACAAAAGATGGACAAAAAAGGCACTAAAGACACATGCAAGGTGACCAAACACCACACCAAACACCCCAGTCAGGAGCCATCGACGCAATTCCGCCAAGCGGGGAAGAGTAAACAAGGATGGAAAAGTGAACAATGGTGGCGGAGTGAGTAGAGTAGCCCAAGAAGATACTCGCTCCAAATGCATGAGCCTAACTAGAGAAGCAAAGCTCTACGAAGTACCAACGATGGAACTCAAAACCGTTCTGTACTTCCAAGGAAAATTCCTGCCAACCTTTGGAGAACTGTGAGGCGTCGCCCAAGCATATAACCAGCAGTGTAGCGAATAATAACTAGTCTACCTGCAAGTGTGGTCTACAACAGACATGCGAGACACCATACCACCCACACCATTGCCCGCCAAAATATCACCCGCAACTACTGTATACGCAACAAAAGATTAGTTCCTTAGTGTTTGTGTTTATTGACACGAAACAATAGAAACTGGGAGAGTGGCACACGCCACCCTTGCGGCACATTGTGGTCACGAAACAATGGGCATAAAAGGGATAAGCGCAGAATCAGGAAAGACCGGAGGAATGACCGGCACGGTGATGCGCGGAACCAATTACCACGTAACGTGGTGGTGGGGCCCCACGATTGGTGCAAGGGCAGGTTGGACATGCATGTGAGTGGGAATGGATGGTAAGAAACAGTAGCTGCCTCGCACAGGCCAATAGGACCTCCGCAGGTCCACTGTACTTATGTCCGTATGTTTGTACGCACAAGGGGACACAGGAGGAAGTGAGCACCCAAAGGAGCCACAGACACTAAAAAAGAACCTGATCAATGTCAGAGGGAAAAGGAAGTGAAAAGCACCAAAAAGCCATGTGGAGGAGGCAGACGCCACCCACAGGAGCAAACGTAAAGAAGACAGAGCCCAGGAGGCTCAGGAAACTGCACAACCGTCAACTGACAGGAGAGGCAGGGCCCAAGAGCCAGAGCTCAACCCCCGCAAGCACCTTACCAAAAGTGAGAACCAGCACTAGGCCGACAGAAGCGCTAGACAAGACAACCTCACCTGCAGAGCAGACACACGACCGTGCCACAACACAGGCGAGCCAAGTAACATACTAGGAGCAGCGCTAAAGGGGTGCCCGAAAGCCATGCATACTCGAGGCAGGAGGCATAGTATGGACCGTTACCTGAATAAAATGCGAAGTCGAATGAGAAATACGGCCAGAGGCGCGCGCCCTGCAGAAGACGAAGCAGTACAGAGGGGGGAGGAGGCGGCACCACGCCAAACCATCCCACACCAAGAAGCAGAGGAAGAACAAAATGACACCCCCAGATATAAATCCAAAACACCCTCAGCATCCAGAGGGCCACGACTGGAGGGAGAAACGAGCAAGAAGCCGTAGAAAACCCCGAGAAACGGCGTGAAAACACGAGCATACTGCCCATAAACAAAACGCACACCGCGGCCCCAGCACACGAGGTACGAAACGCACGACCCGTCCACCGGGAGGCGTGGCTCGTACACCAGGCAGACACATAAATCGTACACACAACATACAGACATCGTACAAACACCAGGAAGGCGTGCAGAACGAAGACAAAGAACACCGAAACTGGAAGTAGAGACGACGCGAAATCAAAACAAGGCGAAAACGAAGCAAAAGAAAACAGATGATGGAAGGGAACCACCAAGGCCGACAAAAGACCCGAGGGGAAACCACATCGAAAATCAACAGACGTTCCAATAATATTGGAAGGTACGAAGAGATTCGTGAACCAACGAGAACCACAAGCACCCCTGACCAAGGAACATGCAGGGACAATGATACGAAGCGGTTTAGGCACTATGGACTAGGTCAATATAAAAATCTATCAATGTTTGTTTCACACCTTGTATGGATGTACCTTACCTGAACACTTTTTGTTTTTTTTTTACAACCCGTTCTCACACAAGACAGCACATATATGACTTAATGCTTAAAGTCAATATGTTGAATATGAATTAGTAAATATGTGATATATTCCCAGTTACTTTTTTTTCCAAGGCCCAAACTCTTCCTCACGTACCAACTTGCGTCTCACAGTACCCGTCCGTCAACCTAGATAGCAGAATAGTCGTGATTGGTTCAATTATAAGGAAAATTGTACTTTTCAGGTCCCACATGGGTTGTGAAATTTACCTACTATTGTCCATGCTCTTAGAATATTATAGATCAGCTACTTCCTATTGAAGGTTCGTAGTTTTGTTTTGAGAAATATTAGTTGTTCTTAGTAAATTATAATAAGCACTAAAAATTATTACATAGAATAACAGTCCTTCACCAATCAATATTATATACCATAGTTGGTGCTTTACAAATCTTTAAAGGATGTTTTGTAGGAACGCTAACAGAAAACGATGGTTCATTGGAATGTCTATGGGGTAAACTA